TTTACCTATTAATATACCTAGTACCTACCTGATGATACTTCATTAATACTTTTCCACTGATATTCTTATAATATTATAGTTACGAGTTACCTATAATATTAGTTGTATCGCACATTCGTTCAACAGTGGTTGAATACTATTATAGTATTATATAGGTAATCATTTTATTTTCCAATTCTCAGTTCTCAATTTACTGTGCGCAGACTGCAAAGTAGGTAGGTACTATTATAGACTGTCTGTGACAACTAAATTTCAGTAAATCTTATAAGGGGGGCAGGGGCGTATTTAGATATTTTTTTTGGGGGGGGCTGTGGTATTTTCTCCAACTGAAATTCCCTAATTCAGCCTATTAAAAATAAGAGTTAGAAAATTAGTACTCAATTTTAATTTTTGTCATGATTTTTAATGTTTTCAAAAAATTAATAATGAAATAATGTATAATAATAATAATAATAATAATAATAATAATACGATATTAATATAACAAATCAAATCAAATTTAAATTTCTTTCTTTGCCACTGTTAGCAAATTTATCTAATAAAATGTCATCTGGTATGTCAATGTCTCTATGAATAGCTAAAAGGGCAAGTCCCACTAGTCTGGATTCTGAAGTTGTATTTCTTAAATACGTTTTGAGTCTTCTCAACGTCGAAAAGCTACGCTCAGCTGTAGCGGTGGATACTGGTATTATAGCTAGTATTTAAATATTTATCTATAATAGCGACTATAATATAACAGCCGGCCGTCGTCGTCACAACTTCTCGGAAATATTTTTAGCTCATACGGGCTCGTAATGCTCGTATAATTATTATTGTACGGTGATCGAAACGCGGCAACGCGTGTATAATATCAGTAAATCAATTCTAGATAAAAGAAATCGAAATTACGATAATGCAGCAGTACAGCACGTCAAAATTAAGTATTATGTACCGAACTCAAATAACGATCATATAATCGTTATTCGTTACGATCAAAATCGTCATTGACACATTATAATATGAATAACTTGTTCGTTGTTAATAATAATTCTTTATAAAATTATATTGAACTTTTACGATTTTACATCTAGTAGAACATAATAAGTAGACTTAATAAACAATTCCTAGATTTCGGGGGGGGCTGAAGCCCCCTCAGCCACCCCCATAAATACGCCCCTGAAGGGGGGTGTGGGGGGCTTTGCCCCCCCACGTGTTATTTTAAGCTTTAGTTTTTAATGGACTCTAGCCCATGTAACTATTCAATCCTAGTTACTCCCATGCATTAGGTATCTACATTTTTCTAAAAATTCTTAAATGATTTATGATTCAAATTCCATCAAGGTATATCAAATTCTATACATTGATTGACATAAATCTAGAGGAAACTTTGATTGTTTCTTTTGGTTTCCTAATGTATTGTTGATGAATGACTGTTTAGCTTTTAAAATTTAAATTAACATTTTGGTATGCTTACTTGTAACTTTAAAAGTTGTACTACCTGATAAGGTAAGAAGATTAGATAGGTACCTAGTATATTAAGGTACTTCAATTCGACAAATAACCAAATAATTATAGATGTTCATTAAGTAAATACCATTTAAAATTAACAATATAATAAACATTTAATAATTTAAGTTTTAAAATCAACAAAATGAACAAGATTCTCAAAACTCAAATAATGCAGTGTGTTAAAAATATGTAAAAAAAATGATTCTATTTAATCGAGAATAAGCCAAATTGTGGACATCTTACAACCAATCTATTTGGACTTAGGAAAAAAACAAGCAAATAGGTAATGCATATAAATCCTAACCCTAGTCATAACTAAGAAACGACATTTTCATCCCATAGGTAAAAATGAGGACTTTAGGCCATGAAATAAAGTTTTTATTTTTTCGATATCGGAACTTAAAAAAGTTCCCTATTCAAATTTGAGAAACACGAAAATATTGGATTTTGAAACAATAAAAACTCTTTCCGTAAGTGATATCGAAAAAAAAAAACGATTTTTTATTGGTCTTACCGGTAGAAAATCTGGTTTATCTTTTATCTATGGGCCCAGTGGCGTATTTACGGGGGGGGGTCCCCGGGTCTGGACCCCCCCCCAGAAAAAAATATAATATAATATAATTATTACATCGTAACTCGTATGTGTTTTTTTTATATTATAAACTTGTAGGTACCTAATATTTAGACCCCCCCCAGAAAAAATTTCAAAATACGCCACTGTATGGGCCAGTTCAGGATCATGAACTCTGGGGGCAGGGGTTTGCCCTTATACAAAATGTTGGGCCCCCTTTAAAAATTTTAAAAATTGCAGCATATAGTACCTATGCGGTTGTGCCCATTTATTTAACGTAATGATTCATATGGAATTTGGTTCTTCTATTTTAATACATTTTTAAATTTTTTTCTCACTAAATTGTCAATTAATAATGAATTATCTTCTCAATGTTAATCGTCAAGAGCTTTGGTTCGTTTCTTTTTCTATGTTAAAAATGTTATAGTGCATAGATAAACGTTCATATTCACATGAATTTCAGTTTCTTAGGTACCTAATTCTTTATTACCTAATTTTAATATGAAAATGGTTGTTCTACTCCAGTAGTCCAAACACAGTACCTAATCGCAGACATCATATACCTAATAAAAAATAATGCAAACACTTAAAACGTCTAACGAAAACTACTTAAAAAATCGTTATTTAATATTTATAATTTTAAATTATAACTAACCAAAATATGTTTTATTATAGATATTTGTAATCTTTTATAACTATTTTTATATATACCAAATTTTTTTGTGGGAAGTTAGAATTTATGTCATTATAATAAGTTATCATCTGCAGTTTGTGTCCAACAAATAATATGATTAAAAAAAGAGGAAAGTAGATAAACGTTGTACAGTAGGTTGTAGGTGTCAACAGTGGAGTCCGCAGGATTTTTCAATGGGGGGGGCTTTAAAATTAGTTACATTTTTATTTTATTTTGTCCAGTCTAATAATTTCAGACGTTTATTTGAGGTATTTTAAATGTTTGTAACTTTTCAAATTTTCTGGTAGAAAAAATGCTCTGATCATAAGCATCTAGTTGGTACTTTAAGGTGGTCGAAATTGAAAATTCTCAGTGCTTTTAAAAATAATTGGAGAAAAAAAAATGAAAATTTATTTAAATGTTTGGTTATACCGTCTTCACTTGGATTGTATTTGAATAATTAAATTTTTTTTTTATATATAAATGTCAATAAAAAATTATTTATCCGGTTAAAAACCTTAAAAATGTAATACATAAGTTATTTTATTATATCTAAAATATTAACGATACATACTACATAGGCATAGTGTTTGAAAATTTCATGAAATTTAAAAAAATGAAATATTTCAGTAGGTATTTTGATATACTTTGTTTTATTTTTAAATAAGTTTTATATTTACATATAATTGTCATAAATTACCTTCATAACTATATGGTACCTACCTGTATGTATACCTAACCTTTGGTATTATACATTTAAAATGGTATTCAACATTTTTAAATATTTTAATGTTTAAATGATACAAGTAGGTATACAATATTATACATGTATTTTTTATAAATACTGAATTCTGTCATTAGAATTTAGAACACTGAACATTGTGTTAAAAAAATAAATAAATTGTGTTTTTATTTGTGTAAAAAAATTTCGATGTGTCACGTTTTTGTGAAATATTTGATATTTCACACTTCAAACACTACATAGGCACCATGGTTATTTTTTATAAGCATTTAAAGTTCAAATTTCGTCAAAATGACAGTTAATTTGTAGTTCAAAACTTATAAAATATAAAATATATATAGCTAAGGCAGGGCCTGATTAACCAATAGGCTAAGTAGGCTACAGCCTAGGGCGCCAAGCGTTTTGGGGGCGCCATAAAAATTTTTTTTACGAATGTAGAATTTTTGCATAATATATACTTTAAAAAAAAAAATTATATTTTCGTTATTACACGTTGCACAATTTTTACACAATGCCGCGGCCTATTCGCCGTGCCGTTACCGCGTCGCCGCAACGAATTTCCGCCCGGTCGACTATTGTAATATATTACGTTATTTGTCATATACCTATATCTTGTAATCGTCGCGGGCTTATCGCACCGACGACCGAGCGATCCCACATCCTCTAATATTATATATAAGACTTTTGAGCCATTTAAAATCCTTGAAGATAGAGTCACTATTTCCAAATGTTGAAGTGGCTATATATATATATATTTGAGTATGGCCGTCACAAATTGTAGCGGAGAAAGATCTTTTTCTGCTCTAGGGCGGGTGAAAAACATTTTAAGATCCACTTTACGCCAGGATAAAATGAAGGCCCTTGCACTTTTGTTTATTGAAAGTGAATTCATGAACAATATTTCTTTCGATGAAATAGTAGAGTCTTTCGCAGCGTTAAAATCAAGGAAAAAACTTTTTTAAATGAATAATATTTAGTTCAATCATAAATTAAAAATGTTTAAATGCTTTTGTGTATAATTTTATTAAATATAAAACACGTTTTATTTTAAACAAAAAAAGTCTGTTGTTTTTACGTTTTCTTAATCCTCGTTTTACCCTCCAACCCAGGCCCTATTTTTATGTGCACCACGACACACAATGTGCACTACGAATATACAAGTGTGCACTACGATTTGAACGTGTGTGCACTACGGTCTACAAAACAAAAATTGCCAAGTCAGGGATCGGCATATAAACTTTCTTGATTTTGAATTTTAGAAATTTTTTAACTGATTTAATCACACCCAAGCGGTCAAACCCTATTAGGGGCCTTTAGACGAAGGGTTTTTCGTGCGCGATTGGAATGTGAAACTCCAATCACGCGCGAAAGAATGCATGTATAAACATGAACAAACATGCGTGACTCTCATGAAGGAATTTCCTGCATAGTTATCGCGCGTACCAGTACTTTAACTGTCGTCTTTACAAGCACAGTGTTTTCGTTGACGATTTATCCACTAGTTTCCGTTTTTTACCTTTAAAAACATGAGTGATTCAAGGTACTTATCAAAAGAATTTATAAGTGATTTTTTAGAGAAATATCGTGATTTTCCATGTTTATGGAAAATCAAATCAAAAGAGTATACAAATAAAAACCTAAAAAACAAAGCCTACGACGAATTGGTTGATTTATGTAAAACCGTTTATCCGGACGCAAATAGAGATTTCGTGGTTAAAAAAATACAGAGTTTCAGAGGATCTTTCCGAAAAGAACTTAAAAAAGTGGAAGATTCCAAAAGAAGTGGAAGGTCTGCTGATGAAGTGCATATTCCGACGTTATGGTATTATCACCTTTTGGAATTCACCGTCGATCAAGAACTTCCTACAGGAAGTATAAGTAACATAAATAGCGAAGATCAGTTACATATATTAGACGAAAATACAGATGAGGTAAAACATTTTAATCAACTGTTATAATTAATTATTATTATACTTTTAATATAATTCAAAATAATAATAATAATAATAGTAAAATAATTAAGTTTTTGACGAAGGTATTATTAATACGTAATTGAATCTATTTGAGTAATAATAATAAGGAATTTGTTCTTAAGTGTATTAAGTAGGTAGAGTAACTATTAAGTTTTTTAATAACAACAAAATATCAAAAATCGTTTGATGAGAAATAGTTTTTTATCCATAGTTTTTTTGTCATAAAATGTGATATTAGAACGCTAAAATAAAATTAATTGACTCCGGTTTAACGTTTAGATTCTGAGCGGAATATTGATGTGTATTTTTTATTTTTTGTATCGATTTTACAATGATGAGTTTTATTTTTTAATTTTAAAATTTTTGTGTCAGTCATCACCGTTTGGGGCACAAAAATGCTTCGATTTTCTTCAACGTAGTATCTTGTTCGATGAAAAAGTGAATCTAGTTGGTGACATTTTCAAATGAAATTTTTTCGGCAAAAATTAATTAAACCTACTGCAGTAGCAGTACTAATAGTTAAATAAAATTACTTTAAACATAAAAATATACTAGGTAAGTAATTTATTATAGGTTGACAGAAGGTTTTCGCTCAGAACCGTTTTTCGTATACCTACAATGATTTTATATTATTGAATTCATATTTGACACAATTCATTACAGTGACTTTTCTACATCCTATAATGTACAGCAGAGCGTTACCCAATAACCATTTTTTTTTTACTATATAGGTAGATAGATATATATTTAGATATACAGGGTGTAACAGATAGAACTGACTTTTGGAATAACTTTTGTTCTCATTTTTTTTTTTTTTTATTTATCATTAAGAGACCCTAGCTACATGTATAATTTATTTATTTTTGTTTATTTTTTAATTCTCAAAATAAAGAATTTAAAATTTGATTTAAATTTTTTTGGATAAATACAAAATAGCCAATTTGTGAATCTGATTATAAGAACAATTTTGATGATAAAAAGATTTATCTAAGTCAAGTAGTTTATTTTTTAGAATTTTTTGAAATATCAATATTTTTTTGATTAAATTAATTTGAACGTAATAACGTTTTTAAAAATATAATTTTTTGGAATTTGCTGACATGTGTATACCTATTTCTTAAATTATTTACTCATCAGTCATCATATAATACTAACAATTTTTGTCATACGTTTAAGTAGCAATATTTTTTTTTTCAGTCAGGTCTATCTGTTACACCCTGTATATAAGTATATAATAGGTACACATCATTATTTTCGTAAAAGTATTTTATTGGTATTATTATAGTTAAGTATTTTATTAGTATAGAAGTAATTATAGTTACAAAGTACGACATATGAATTAAATATAATATTAAAATAATTAATCAGACAAATTAAATTAGATAGGTAGGTACTTATTACAATTATGCTCTTCCAGCTTTTACCATGTCTTCCTGGAAATCTACTGAACCTTGGTTATTAAAAAAATGCATATAATTATCTCTATTTACTTTCGCCTCAGTAGACACATTTTTTTGTCTTGTACACTGTAACCCAAGGAGTTCATTGTTGATATTTTCCCTCCATTCACCATTCTTAAGTATATTCGTATCCTCTTGTCTGTCAAACATTGTTGATGTGACGTACGGACCTCCACGTTTCCTTAAAAAATTATGAATTGCACATATCGCTAGTACAGCATATGATGCTTTTTCAGGGTTTAAATTTATAGCTCGCTGTAGCAATCTAAATCTTGATGAAATCAGTCCAAATGTGTTTTCGACGCAATTTCGAGCTCGAGATAATCTATAGTTGAAAACACGTTTCTCGTGAGTCAACTCCCGCTGCGAATATGGTTTTAAAATGTGTTCATGAAGAGCAAAAGCTTCGTCTCCAAGAAAAACAAAATTTAAATTATTAACGGTGTCATCATTATTTGGTATTTGTAATTTCTCTTCTTTTAGACTTTTATAAAACTCGGTACATTCTATAACACCTCCATCTGACAATCTCCCATTTTTCCCAACATCAACATAAATAAACTCGTAATTACTATTCACCACTGCCATTAGAACTATGCTATAGAACCCTTTGTAATTATAAAATTGAGCCCCAGTACCAGGTGGTTGCAAAATCCGAATATGTTTACCATCTATTGAACCTCCACAGTTCACAAATTGCCAGCGGTTTTGAAATCCGATTGAAATATCTTGCCATTCTTCTTTAGATGTAGGAAACTAAAAAAAAAAACGGCGGTAAGTGGATGTCACTTTGTTGTACAGTAGGTTACAAGTGGGTCACTGAATATAATAATGGATGGTATTAAATTTGAATTCAATGATAATATAATATCACTGTATACGAAAAACGATTCTTAGCTGAGAAGGTTTGTCAGTGTGGATATTTTATTTTATACTTATATTGTTATTTCATATTATTATTTATTAATATGATAGCCGGTAAGTTGAATTAATATTATAAAACTAAAATCGTTATTCTTGGTTATTTAATATGTAATTTTGTCCAAATTTGATCATAAAATATGTAGCTATAAAAAAGAAATTGTGGCTTTATATTTTTGAAATATTTTAGTTACAGAATAACCTATTTACGTGGAACCTTGTTTTAAATGTTCAACCTCTAACTATAAAATTTGAAAATTTGATCAATTTTTAACTACAAAAATATTTTTAAATTTTAATTTGATAAATGTTGTCAAAAATCGAACTTTAAATGCTTGTCAAAAAAAAATTGTGCCTATATATTTCAAACATTTTTTTTTTTATAGGAAAACATAAACACACAAAGTACAGAAATGTTATTGAATGATGATGATAATAATATACAAGTTCAAGCTACTGAACCGACCACGCCGAAATTTTTTCTTTCAACTCAACAAACGTCTGGTAAAAAAAAACGAAAAATAACTGATCGTCAAGATGAATTTTTAAAAGTCTGCACCAAGGCTTTAACGACAAATGATATCACCGAGTATGATGCTATTGGTATTAATGTTGCTTCTAAACTCAAGAGGATGAATCAAACGCAATACATTTACGCTGAATCATTATTAAATAAAGTATTAACTCAGGGTTTATTAGGGACTTTAACATCAGAATCTGATATCTGTGAAAAATCATCATTTAGACAAACTCCCTTAAGCTCATATTCAAATTATTCCTATGTTTACCAAACACCACATGATTTAAATACACAAGGTACAATCGATCAATAGCCTTATTCAACCAACTACAAATAGTAATGAACGTACACATGGACTTTCCGATACGCCTGCAGAAACTACTTCTGAAGACAGCTATATCTGGACTAACGAAAACTTAAGTAATATGCCATGACACACAAGAAATACATAAATTAATATAAAAATAAATAGTATTATAATTATTTAGTATATTTATGTATAACATTTTTAAATATTTACTATCAAGTTAAAACTTTTTTATTTTTCACGAAGTCTGATGTTTTGTTTTGTTTTTTAGTTATTTTTTATTTTCTATATTTAATGGTAAGGTAACCATCGTAAATAGTATTATAATTATTTATTATATTTATGTATAAAAATTTTAAATATTTACTATCAAGTTAAAACTTTCTATTTTTCACGAAGTCTGATGTTTTGTTTTGTTTTTTAGTTATTTTTTATTTTCTATATTTAATGGTAAGGTAACCATCGTAAATAGTATTATAATTATTTATTATATTTATGTATAAAAATTTTAAATATTTACTATCAAGTTAAAACTTTCTATTTTTCACGAAGTCTGATGTTTTGTTTTGTTTTTTAGTTATTTTTTATTTTCTATATTTAATGGTAAGGTAACCATCGTAAATAGTTTATATTTTAAAGAGATCTTTAATAGATTTAAAATAAATTATTTTAACATTTATAAATATTAGAAAAAATTTTGTGTAAGTTAATAAATTGAAATATTTACCTTCATGTAGTCCTTTTTCAAAGCTTCAAATATCTCTTTGCACGTTTCTGGGATTATGTATGATAAACTAGGTGCAGATATGCACGTACTAAATTTCAGATCTTCGTATGATCTGCCTGTAGCAAGGAATCTAAGTGTTGCGATAAGCCTTTCTTCTGCTGTTATTGCCATTCTCATTACTGTATTTTGTTTCTCTATTTTAGGTCCAATAAGTTCAAGCAGTAACTTGAAATCCTGTGAATCCATCCGCAAGTAATTTCTATAATCATCTGGATTATTCTCTTCAAGTTCACGAAGTAGTTGAATATCACTAAAATTTCGATTTAGCTTCCAATCCTTCACCCATTTTGATCTTTTTTTCCTTTTTTTTTGTAGCATCACGTGTATAGCCGCACATGCAATAGCTATTTTTTTTTGTTTCAGTTTATACATAATTAATAAAAAATTTATACAAAATTGATAAGTTATTTAAGTTATATAAGTTAACACAACAACAACACGGTCAAGATCGTAATGAAAACTGTTGGAGTGTTGGGTTTTGCAAAACTCCACGCGCCATGACAATCACGCGGGATTGGAGACGGTTATTGCCTTTACACGGACACGCTTTCTTGTGAAGTTCAACATAAAGGGAAAGAACGCAGGACTGGCGCGTGTCACCTATTTTCAAGCACACTCTTGGCGCGTCACGCGCTAGTCCTTCGAGATTCACTGCCCGCACGGCGTGCCAATCCAATCGCGCACGAAAAACCCTTCGTCTAAAGGCCCCTAATATGAATCCAGAAAAATGTCGGCGTGAACAGCCCCACAAAAAATCATTTTCATTTTCATTTAGTGAGATAGATCTCCGAAACCGGACAGCGGATTTCGTTGATTTTGGTCTTGTTAGATTCACATTGGTTAGGAGAAGTGCAGTGAAGATTTGCAGAACTTTATCTTTAATAGTTAATTCACTACAGAACATTAAAATAAATTAAAACAAATTTTATTGGGCGTTTTTTGATGTTTTTCATCTTTACAGCTTTGTAATGAATTAACGATTTTAGATAAAGTTCTGAAAATCTTCACTGCAATTCTCCTAGCAAATGTGAATTTAACAAGACCCCAAACAACAAAATCCGTTCTCCAGTTTCGGAGATCTACATCTCTAAATGAAAATCTAGAGAAAATAACTCTTTTTTTTTTTTATCTGTGAAAAATTAAATAATTTAAAAAAAAAAAATTAATTCCACATTTAGTGTCTATCTGATAATCCCTTTTTAATGAGTTATCAACCAAATTTCTAGCTAGGTATCATAGTTTAGGATAAAAGTTAAAAAATAGAAATTTTGGGACTGTTCACGCGAATGTTTTTATCGATTCAAATTGGGTATACCGCTTGGGTGTGATATAAAATCTCTCTTATTAATATTTTATATTAAAGCTAGCTAAATTACCCACCTATTCATCATTACTGAGTTACATTTTTATTATTTTCCTATTTAACACAAATTCTTGAAGTTTTCAAAGTTCAGACTTTTTTCATTTCAATTACTATACTTACTTGATAAAAAATCAAGAAAGTAATATGCATTGTTATGATTTTAATTATTAAAAAGTTAAGTTAAGGTTTTTATTATTATATTATGCTATTTAATTTTTATGATTTTTATTAAAAGATAAGTATTTTGTTGTTTTATTGAATTGCATTGTTAAATTATTGTATACATATGGTATATAATATATATATATTATATATGTAATATGTATTATGTAATACATTCCTTTTGCTAAGATGGTAGCGAGAATAAAATGAAATGTGCAGTCCGAAATTTTACAAATAATAGGGCCTGCTCCAACCACTCCGATCATTCATAGGGGCGCCAAATCAACCCTAGCCTACTGGTGACCAACTCCTTAATCAGGCCCTGAGCTAAGGCTAGACAATTTAGTACAAGGTCTTTCATACAAGTAGTTCTTACTTTTACCTAAAAATTACAGATAATTTATGAAAATTGGTATGCAAATACAATGTTCTTTCAAAAATGAATTCATTCTGGTAAGACATATATGAAATTTACTTCTGGCTTACTATAGTTGACAGTTTAACTTTATTAATATTTTTTTGAAAAATTAATAATAATACCGGCAATGGGGGAGGCTTCAGCCCTTTAGCCCCCCCTGCGGACGCCACTGGGTGTCAAGTTAGGTAGCCAGATAGGTACCTCATAGTTTGTATATGACGTGTTGGACATACAAAAATGGAATATCGATTAAGTACCTATCTGTATTAGGTACTAGCCACTAAGTATATTAATTTATGGTGTATTTATATTGCTATTATAGTAAGTAAAGAGTAATTATTAAGTAATTTATTTTACTAAAAACATGCGCCTATGTATATTTATTAGTTTAGAAAACATTTTTATCTACATTTATTGAAAAAAATCTTAAATTTAAAATCAAATATCCAAAAACACCATTCGAAAAAAACAATACATAGGTACGTTTAGATTCTGAGCGGAGCGAGGAAGCTAGTGGTTTTACAAAGGTGTTTATTTTTTTTTAATTTTTATATCCTGTATACAAAATTTCTACCAGAAAGAGTGCTTTGATTTCAACATATAGTACCTTATCTTTTAGCAAATTGGATGAAGATGGTACTTTAAAGAGCTAATTTTTCGATTTTATCAATAGTTATTTAATGCCACGGTAAAAACCAACGAAAAATGACGAAAAACAGCTAAAAGTTGGATTTTTATTTTTAACGCCTTGTTTAATACCATAGAAACGAATAAAAAAAAATAATATTATAATATTGATTCGACTTACATGATAATATAATAATTAATGACAATAAAAAAAACCAAGCCTGACAAACGGTCTCCGCTCAGAATCGTTTTTCTTATACAATGATAGAATATCATTGAATTCAAGTTTAATACAATGACCCACTTGTAACCTACTGTACAGCAGAGCGACATCCACTTACCTGCTTTTTATAAACTATGTCTGAAAAAGCCCGGAGTTATAGTCATTACCTAGAAAATATTTCTAAATTCATCATTATCTGAAAATAATAGACATTAACGTTATTTCCTCGTCAATACCGTATAGGTACTGTCTAATTTGATCAGTAATATTGGCTTAACATTAACGGTAATTCATTAATTTATGTCTTTGCCGGTAACACAATAATATACTATTAGTAGGTACGTCAAATATATCGATACTACATTTATGTCATAAAACATGTCTGTTGTATCAACATCGTTAGGTATATTATGTAGGTAACCTTAATTTATTTTACATACAGACATTTATTTACTATTTTAGTTTATAATGTTTTGATATCCTGCATATTATCAGAGATCCCAAATTTATCTAAATGTGTCAGGGCCATGGTGCCTTTACACCGGCGATTTATCCTTCACTGGACGATGGGTGCCGCTTTCATAAATTGCACAGGGACACAGGTCCCGGAAATCATAGCGTCGGAACTAACTGGGTTACTTTAATTAGTAGGTAGGTATCTATTATTAATACTATTAGCATTTACAATCAATGGTATAAGTTTATTACTTATAGGTAGTTAGGTACGTATTATTCCATATTTATTCATAATATATTATAAATTATAATATATCGGTACCTATAATTTTATTAATAAATAAATAAATTAAAACTTTTTATTTGAATCGATCAATTCATCGTATTCAAAAATTCGAAATATGTGGAACAGTGTATACTGCATAATAATAATATAGTAATTACTAATAATTAGTAGATACATAATATATAATATTATTATGTTTCACAATATTATTAAATTTTTTATACTTTTGTTCATGTTATATATTTATAAAACGTAGGTAATGATAATGGGAACAAGAGCGATTGCCAGCAAATTGATTTCAAGAAGTGAAAAAATCAATATTTTAAAATTTTTTGGAGTAAATTAATCTGAAATGTAATAAACTAATAACTGATAATTTTCTACAAAATATCTTTTCTGGGAATCTCCTAACAAATTATATTTTTTAAATTATTTATCATCCATATAATTTTCATAATTTTTGTCATACAAACAATAGTACCTATCAATTGTTTTTTTGCAGGTTTTTCTGTTACACTATATAAGGTAGACATTAAGACATTAAGTACAGAAAAAAAGGTATAGACTATATTATAGTAGTTGGCCACCAGTTGGTGTGATCCCACCTATATTAAATATAATATATTTTACTGAATATAATTAATTTTTACCCTCATGTACTAACTAATAACTTTGAATTTAGGTTTTATACAAAAAGGAACCATTAAATATAAAATACAAAATAAATTATTTTTATTTTTTTAAATCTTAAAAATATATTCAATATATTTGTTCGATGATATTTGATAATAAAACATTTTTGTGTAAAACTTAAGCTAAGATCACAAATTATATCCTCTAGCAGATTGAATTCTACTGTTGTGGTTGAGCATATACATAAAACTTTTTTTGATACCTCCAACAGTTTTTTTTTTACCAAGGGCTATAAGACCCTGTTTAGCTTTTGCTCTCCAACAATAATATCGCCATAAGATGAAAATAGCTACGATAGACAATACAATTGCAAGTGTTGTTAAAGGTAAAAAAAATCCAGTGAAAAATCCTTCAATTGCTAATGTTTCATTTTGAACTTTTGAACTGGCTGCTAGAGATTGCAACCATACATATTCATTTTCATCCTTGTAAGAGGGGTCAGTTTTCAATTTTTGAGGTTTGTAATTATCACTAAACAAATTAATAAATTCAATGAAAAATTAAATTGTTTATTACATAAATGTATGTTAATAGCTAATAACCTGTTTGCTGAAATATTAAGAACAACGGTTTTAGCCAAATCAATTGTGACACACAATGGGATAGATAGTTGTACAATACCAGAATCACTTTTTCTAATCACTTTAGAGTATCTGAAATTAGTTAAAATTTGAAAAATGTACATCGTAGTCCATGGATATTTAATTTTATTAGCTAACTTGTGTAATTCATTGTGTTCAAGACGTTCAGTTAAATAATGTGTAGTATTGTTGTTACTGATTTTGACATTATCCTCAAGAAAAACATGAGGTAGTTTACCAGTAGATATATATTCCATGATAGCGTCCAACATCCAATAACAGTCTATTAAAATAATTACGAGAACAAAAATGATGGGTTTTTAAAAAATAAATCAAATAATTACCAATTTCAATATGATTATTATCTAGACAATTTGAATCACCATAAAGAACAATATATCCTGAGGATTTATATAAGCCTAAAATAGGAACATCAACTTCTCGTCCACTTTTATCACTTCCTAAAATTTCTTCACCTATATATCAATATTTGTTTAATAATGGTATATAATATATATGGATTATTAAAATATTTATATACTATACTAAACATTTTAGTTACCTTGATTTTTTAAAGTTTTAGCAACAACAATTCCTTCATTTGGAAATGATGTTATATGAGTACCTGAAGAATAATGTACTTTTCTATCTCCCATTTCATATTCTCCATAATAAACGTTAGAACCTAGAGATATGCCATAGGGCGCCAACAAGTCATTTAAAGCTGGAATGTTTGAGCCTCCTGTTACTGGCATCCACCATTGCTTGGTGTTTTCATCAAAAAATTTTATCTTAAAATAAAAATAACAAATATAACAAAGTAAATATAAAATATATTAATAGAATAATAATATACCTTTTTCATCACAGAAACATTATACCAGTCTGCAAAAATAATAACTGATAAATTGTAATTTGCAATGTCAGTCTCAATTTTTACTATTTCTTCAGAGAAAAACTCTTCTTCAGGATCTATAACTAACAATGCTCCATAGTTGGTAGCATTAAAGCATGTATACGGTTCACCCAATACTTCAACATAATAACCAGAACTACGTAAATGTTGGTATAAACCCTAAGCAATTAACAAATAATAAATAAAAATAACTATAGCAAATGCTTACAATATTTTTCATTGTATAAAGTATTAACCTTAAAATTTGTATGTATGTGATCTGCATTCCAGTCTAATGGGTCATTTTTTACATTCAAATTATCTCTTGGAAAATACCCCGGTGGGTATCTTAAATTATGGTACTGATCCCACAGGATTCTTCTTATTCTTGGTGGAGGAGGTATAATAGCAGCTCTTAACGGCAAATTAACTGTGTAATTGGTATTCGCTGATTCAATTGTTAGCTCAATATGGCCAGCCACAGTTCCACTCCAATCTTTAGGTATAGTTTGTGACACAGATAGTGCAATAGCCATCCAACCTGACCAAGGCCATAATGTCCGAGAATAACGTATAGTCACATCTAAGTAATGTCCATTGTCATGAGAATATGGATACCAAACAGGAACATCAACCACTTTTCCAAATACTGCCAAACCGTTGAGTACAGTGATATTGACAATGACTGGCATACCAGTATAATATAATGGTTGAGTGCAGTAGGGCCACATATATTGACATTCCGTCAAATCTACATAACTACATATGAGTTATAAATCATTTATAAACCAACATAATAAGGTTAGACCCCCAAATAAAATCTGCTATCAGCCGGTTTGCGTTAATCGACATTTAACCAGACATTGTAAAAACGGCCCTAAGTCATATTTATAAAAAGGTACAAATATATTTAGATGATTAGTTTGATTATGGTTATGCGATTTGTTTGCCTATTTATACATGTATAATTTATTTAGAAAAATAATTACCTTCCTTCCCCAAATTTTACTAAAATACAGTGAATGAGTGGGGCACGGGGTCCATATGTCCCTGCCTATGGCTATTATAATCACATTGTTTTTCAATTAGTTTGAATAATATAATTTATATATTTATTTCAGTTATCTTTTTACTAATCATAATCTTTATTAAAAAGTAATTAATAATACTTTTAAGAACAAAATTCAATTTTTAATTAAATGAACAAATATATAGATAATATCTCTAGAAAGAAAAAGTATGTTTGTGTGTTTTGTAGTCTTTTTAAAGAGCTATTTTTTTCAAATAATTTTTGATTCATATAGGGAAATATAGTTTAATTATTAGGTTAAGAGGATGCTGTACTCGGGGCATACTCACGGTGGAGGGGGTCATAAGGTTTAAGGCTCCCTACATATTTCTAAAAATTATCCACAACCCTCCCACCATTGAAAATTCCTGAGAATCCCACTGTACACTCGTATTAATTGTTGTCTTTAACTTAGAAACGCAAAACATAGCATAATGTACTTTTTGAATGATCATTTTTTTTTTTTTTTTTTACATTGATCATTAAGCCTGGCAACTATGGCCATTAGCTGTTTTTGTTTTTTTTTTATTAGTTTGTAGGGGAGGGTACTGTTGGTTTAAAAACACTGTTTTAGTGGGCACCCAGTAAAAATGCTACCCGTGAACTGAAGTTTGAACCAACAACTTAGTCAGCTTGGCCATTCCGTCCCTCTCCGAATGATCAAATTAACTCTTTAATGTATAATATTAGATTGAATTGACCTATTATTAGATTCAGAAGTAAAAATATTATCTAGTGAATTTCAGATTGTTTTTGATTTCTTAATTTTAAAGCGAGTTATAAGCATTTATTTTAATTTTTTTTAAACCACCTGAAGGCTTTTTATTTTAAACAATATATTTCAAAGGTGTACATACATATTAAATATTTTTGGTAAGTATATATTATACATATATATATAACATGTTTGGGTTATCACTCCCAGTGAAGGCCCTGGTCAGCATTTTAAAATGGTCGTAACTTACTTTGAAATTAAGGTATAAAAAAAAACCTTTGAGATTCATTAGATAATATTATTCATTTTAAATTTGATAAAAGAACAATTCACTATAACATTAAACACAGCAGAGTTAAATCAATTATTCAGTAAGTATAATTCTCAATGTTTTTCATTTGTAAGATAGAGACAGGTGTAATGTAAGTTATTTAATGTTTTATTTTCCGAGAAAACCTATTGTTCTTTAATATTATAAAATTGCTACTTATTTTAAAACTATAAACTAAGTAACCAAATAAGGTTTATAAATTATATTTAATATACATATTCCTATATCAAGCTTAACTAATTGAATATTCATTTTTTGAATGTCATGATTTATAATTACTTTCAAATTGGATATCTCAATAACGTGAATACACCCATCACAGGCCTACCAAACTCTCAGGACAAGTAAAAACTTCAAATGTCTAATAATTTGAATGATTTCAAAATACCTCCACGATATTTTTTTGTTAGTATCATAAAAAGTTAAACTTACTAAAGATAAAAACAAATAAAAATTGAAGTCTTTATATCAGACGAAGTAAGTTTCATTTTTAATGATTTATAATTAAATTGGGTAACACAATTACTAATTATGTACCTGATTATTTTAAATAATTTTTATTTATAAATGTTAAAATATAATATAAGATGTTTAAATACTTGAAATATAAATTAGATTGGTATTGAATATTGGGTACTATTTTTTAAATATGACACATTTGATATTTATCATAATTTGTCAGTTTTGCAGTTTAACATCATGATTCAAGATTACACTTATGGTCTTGTAAAAATAATATTATACTTTTAATGGTTTATCGTAATTTCTCTCATATAGTTTCTATGGGAAATTATCATTTTTTTGCTTACTATAATTCTATCTTAATTAAGTATATATATTACATTTTTCTTTTTTAAAAAGAAATAGCAATTATTAAATATTTATTTATCTACCTAGGGCTGAAACTGACTTGTGGTATGTAGCTAGACAATACTTTGTAAGCATTCAAGAGGTCTAGCTTTCCATGTCCTTGTTCAAACATATTGACGCCTGGTAATCTTTGAGAACTGGCTAAAAGAGCTTGCTTCATACTTGCAGGATTGACTACTTTACCTTGGGCCAATATACCACTAAACATATCGTAGTAATATACAATTATTTTATTCTATTTCTGAGCTTTTTTAATTGTTTTATTTCTACCTAGTTAATAGTGTTACAGCCCCAGCTACAACAGGTGATGCAACACTAGTGCCAGAGAGAGTCCGACATCCTCCACTCACACTTGATCCATGTACATCTGTGCCGTAACTAACTATATCAGGTTTCAAACGGCCATACCTAAAAGAAAAATGATAGTTGTAGGAAATGCATTCTATGAACATACACATTATAAAAATATACCCCTGTGGTAATTCCCATGTAGTCATTCCTCGTGATGAAAATTTTGCTATATGATCATCAAAACTTATTCCACCCACACCAATAACGTCCATTTGATCAGCAGGATTATTCAAAGTACTTGAAATGTTAATATTTATGTTTATTAAAAATATTAAACATATTCATACATATTTATATAGTACAAAAAACCTCACCCATACAAAGGTCCATCATTACCAATAGCCGATATCATAATAACTCCATTAGCAGTTAATTCCCAAACTTTGTCAACAAAAGGTTGATCCATAAAATCAGGACCGCCAATACTCAAATTAAGAACATGAACTTTTTTCATAATAGCATAATTAAATGCATCTAAAAACCATGATGTATACGAAACCTGCATAATATTTTTGTTAGTATTTATTTTCTTCAACCCTATCAATATTTTGAATTCTCACTTGATTATTAGTGAATACTCTGAAAATATGCAAATCTGCATCAGGAGCAAACCCAAAACATTCACGGTGTGACGCTATAAGTCCTGCTACAAATGTACCATGGCCCAGACCATCATCCAAGTCTCCATCCCCTGTCCAATCAGTTCTCTCAGATACTCTTTTGAAATGTGGATGAGAATTACTCAAACCAGTGTCAAAAATTGCTACCTTTACACCCTTGCCTAAATTAATATTGGGTACATTAAATAAACAACAAAATAATAAAAAGCTTTGTAATAGTGATTCTCTACCTGTAATACCTAACCGCCATAAAACATCGGCTTTGAGAACTTTGGTTATTTGAGAAGGAACAGCACGAAGTATATGTCGAGTTTTATATCGTTTGTTTAGTTTTTGCCATAATTTTATATCCTAAAAAAATAATGATTACATAAATGACAATAGTGAATCCAAACAAATGTCAACAAATTAAATTACACAATTAACACTGAGTATACTTAAGTAATTACTTGGCCAAGGCTTCTTCTATGTAAGAGCACTTTATTTTCAGTTCCATTTAAGTGTTCATTTAAATGTCTTTGTACTAATCGTTGTGGGGTTACTTTTTTAATTAGTGGATGACCAGTCAGTGCATCTAAGGCTTTTAAGGAATAATATTCATCAACCTAAAAAAATTGTAGATACTTACAAATTGGGAGTATAATATTCAATTTCATAATAATACAATTTAAAAAAAATATATAATATATAGAGCTAATTATTTGCTTTTATTTACAAATAAAACATCAAAATCACTTGGATATTGGGTGGCAGCATTTTTTCTTTCTAAAATTTTCCAATTGTTAATGCCTGAAGGTCTTAAAGCAGCCGATATGTAATTGTGCCTTGTTTCGTTTAAGTAATATCCATTGAAAGTCACAATATATTCTAACAAAAATATTACAATATTATTTTAACAATTCATAATATAAGATATTTGATGAATACTACAACTGTAGCATGCGTAATACAGTGTAAAATAATATTAAGGCTACCCATGTTATAATTTACAAATATGTAGTCGGCACATAGGTATGTAATTAATTATCAACACGATAATAATTGTAAGTAAATAACAGTCGATGTATTCTGTGACCGTAAAATATGTCCGATTCTCGGTCGGTTTCAAATATAACAACCAAGAATATCAAACATATCTCACGAATCGACAGATATAATAGGTGCATAGATAAAATTTTATTTTCGTCAACACCCGTGGACGGATGACTAAATGTATTTGCTTGTGTTTACAGTTATAGAAAACACATTACCTTGATCGACGACGTGCGACTCAAACATCGAGTGACACACGGCGAACCGTAAGCCGGCCGTGAGGAGAATCAATTGAACGACGCGTAAAGCTGACATAATGCATATTATTATCGGGAGCGTCGGCGTCTCGGCGGTGGGCGAAGGAGGACTACCTAACTTATTGTTTGACTATTATTCGTATATTAATATATTGTTATTATCGTCTTGTCATATTATCAGTAAAATTACGATGGTCGTGTTTTGGGCGCGCGGAGAAATAAACGAAAACGAAAAAACAGAGAAAAAAATAAAAAGAGGGTGTTGTACGTGTGAGACCGGTGTGACAGTGTGGACGACTTGCTGTGGACGACAACGGCGTCGAGGACTGAACTGAGCACCAAGAGGGTTTGTGGAAGACTGAGCGAGGCGTAATGGAATTAAAAGCGGGTGCGCGCCGCGTACGAAGTGTAACGATGACCGAATACACACGACAACGAACGCGTACAATCGCACGGAGCGCCGCAACGATCAATAACACTCGCGACTCGCGTTAGTCGAATACACATTACACGGTGCGCCGTGCCCGCGCAGACGGTGGTGTGCCGGTGTGCATTGACGGGGATGGGTTGGAGACGCTTGGCGGTGGTCCCGGGCCGTAGTGGTGGCGACGGTGGTGGTGGAGCCATCGGCCGATGATGATGCTGCTGCTGTGGCGGTCGGTGGTGTCGCCGTGTCGGTACTCGGTGGTGGCGACGCGACGGCGGCATCGATGGCGTCGGGTGAAAAGGGTTCGGCGGCCGGTTGGCGTCGGCCACCCCGGCGTCAGCGGAGGGAGACGGTTTTGGGGCGCCGAGAAGATAAGGACCGTCGGCGGATGCTGCGTGCCGTCGGGATTTCAGACTTTCAGTCGTCACGTTGGCGCCAGACTGGCCGGGTCCAGTGCGGATCAATCGCCGGTAACCAGTGTTGCCACTACCACCACATCGTCGTTCCTTATTCTACGTATAATGAATAAAGCTGTGGTACGCAATATCATTATATAATATGTCATGCGATTAATGATTGTTTTTTTAAATCATGCATTCATGCGTGAAACAATTATAGTACCCAGTGGAGTGCTCACTGCTCAGATTTTTTGAAAAGGGGATCCGAATTTTTAGCTGTTAACAAACCCCGATAAAACAAAATATTCTATTCTCGCATTTAGCTATTTTAGGAGCAGATTATAATAATTACTTTAAAAAGATCGATATTAATTTTACAATGATGAGTGTTTTAGATTCTGAGTGGAACGATGAATGTATTGATTTTACAATTATGTGTGTTTTTTTTGTGTCTGTGTATAAGTAGTCGAAATAATGCTTCGATTTTCAACTTCAGTATCTTGTTCGATTGGAAAGTGAATATCGTTGGTGCATTGGGGAGGTTAAAATTTAAAATTCACATAAGTTTTCAAAAGTGGCAAGAAAAACTAAGGAAAAACGGGAATTTTTACGCAAAATCGATTTTTCACAAAATTGAATTTCATTTTTAGTGTAACTTTAAAAAAAATGACAGTAGATACATGAAATGTTCACTGGTTGTTTATATTTGCATTTTCTATACACGATAACATTTTCAAAATATTTTGATTTATTTTGAACTGTTTAGGGACATTTTCATTTTACATTTTTTTTTTAGTTTTTTTTCTAAAAATATCAATGAAATTGTATTTTTTGGTTGAAAAAGCTTGAAAATTTAATAGAAGGCTCCTACTATATTGTTACAATGGCGTTTGAAAAATATTAAAAATCATTAGTCATAATTTTTTTTATAAAAATATAAAGTTAAAATTTTGACAACGAAAACGTGCTAACTAATTTGTAGTTAGAAATTCATCAAAAATTTTATTTTTAAATCGAAGATTTGAAAATATTATACAAGATTCCTCATTAGGTTGTCTACATTTATTAAAAAAAAAAAGTCTACAAGAAAGTCAAATTTTTATAAGCCTTTGAAGTTCATATTTTTACAACATTCGATATTCACTCAATTTCTCATTTACCAATTTTCTTATTTTGTTGTTATTCAAAAACGAATAACTGTAGATACTTTTATATAGATAATTTTCACAGAATGTTTGTATTCTCATTTTCCATACACGTCAGTACGTCACACTATAACATTTTGAATAGTTTTGAGGTGTTTACGAATAATTTCAAATTTCAATTTTTTTAGGTTTTTTTTTCTCTAAATGTCAATAAAATTTTATTTGTAGGGCCAAAAATCGTGGAAATTTAATACAAGGCTCCTGATATATTGTTACAATAGTAGTTTAAAAATATTAAAAATACATTGGCACAATTTTTTTTATAAGTATTTAGAGTTCAGTTTTTGACAAAATTTATCAAATTCAAAATTTAATAAGCTAAGCATTGAAAATTTAAAACAAGGTGTTAGTGTGTTACCTACTTAAGTATGTAATTCTGTAACCAAAAAATTTCAAAAATATAAAAACATTGTTTTATTTTATAGTCATTTTATGTTCAAATTTGGATGAAATTACATATTAAATAACCAAAAATAACGATTTTAATTATTTTGTTGTATTTTTATAATATTAATTCAACTTACGGGCTACTGTGTTAATAATAAATAATAGTAATTATAGGTATACACATAATATAAAATATTCACATTGACAATAACCGTGTCCGCTCAGAATCGTTTTTCGTATAGGTATTCAATGATATTATATTATTGAATTCGAATTTAAATAATTTAATACCATCCATTATACATTGACCCACTTGTAACCTATTGTACAGCAGAGTGACATCAGACATCTACTTGCCCACATTTTTTATAATAATTATTTATAACAAATTTCCTTCCAATTTCATATTATCAGTTAACAATAAACCGACAAGTTAATAGATACAATATAGTAATATATAGTTGCTTATATATACAAATACTGTATAAAACTAAAAGGGCGTCTGTAGAAATGAAAATGTTAAAAGGGCCCAGTAGGCCTACTATACCCATACATTTTTTTAAAATGAATATAACATTAAATATAAATTTAGTTTAAATAATTTAATAAGCAATTTTAGTTTCATGGAGTCTCATGTTTAATATAATGTATTAATAAATATTAAAAATTGAGTATTTAATCAGTTTTATTTGTTTCCTGAAAAAAAGTAAAATTTGGTATACGCCCTTTAACAAAATACTGTCGATATATAATATTATTATATTTATATAAAACACAATTTTAATAAATCAACACTTTTTCCTCTGTACATTTTCCTCTGTGTCCTAGGTACATAATCTGTATTATTAGTATAAATTGTATAAGCATTCCACCAAATTATTATTCATTAAATGTACTATGTACCTCTAAATTCTAGAAAATGTAGACATATAGTATATATTGAATTATCATATTAATAATAAATAATAAATGATAATATATATATATATGCTAATAAATAATAATTAACAATTAACATAAACATATTAAACAAAGTAGGTAGTTATATAATCGTACTGACAGACCATTAACGCAAATTTTGTAATATATTATAACTGCAGAGTATACCTGAGTACCTGACAATTTGTTATCGTTCACATAACAATATAATACCAGATTATAAGTATAAATATGTAATTATTAATGTTGAGCAATCCGGTTCAAACAAATAACAATAGTTTATTCTATATTAATTTACCTAATAATTTTAAACACCTAATTTAGATTATAAAAGGCACTGTAGCTCTTTTTATTTCTATTATTATTTTTTTATTCAATGACATAGGAAAAGAGTCACACGTTTAAACGATTGCGCTGGGGTCGCATCAGTTGTTACTTTAACCAGTGTAATTACATTGAAAACAACGATTTTAGTTGAATGTGTGTGAGGAACTAAAATTCAAATTTTTTACTTCTTCTTGAGTTATTCAAAAACTCAAATTTCAATTTTGCTAGTTTGAACGTTTTCTGTGGCTAGTTTTAAGTTTACTCAACAATTAATAGTGGTATTGCAGTATGTAAATACTGTGTAATATTTGGTCAGGAATTTAATAATTGGAAACATGCAATTTTAAGTATTTAGTGAATACTCTAAAAATTATTTTCATAAAACCAATGTTTTACGACGTGAAAATTGTATACCTACCTATCACCTAGCTATCTATTCAAAAAACTATCAAAATATTGCACACAAATTAGACTCAATGCGACAATGCATGCAGCACAAATAAGTTTAAATCGCAAAAGATTAATACCAGTAATTGAAACTATGATATTATGTGGTCGACAAGAAATAGCTTTTTGTGATTCAGGACCACTTATATTAGAAAAGTTTAACGCAATGATGGCAATTTGCGTGATTTATTGCAACTGCTCGTTTAATGTGGTGATAAATACTTTACAAATGTGATCACTGATCACACAAGGATTTTGAGATTCACGATAGAACATTTTTTTTTTATATATCAATTGGTCACCATTTGTTACAGAATATACTATTATATTAAAATATTATAAGAGGAATTATAGAATATTTTTGTACATAAACGGTTGCCATTGATTATATATACTCGGGCAGATGAGGTAAAATCATGCATCAATTGTCGTGTTTACATGACCTCGAATAGGAAATTATATCTTAAATCAAACATATTTTTTCTATTTATTGACTCCATAGGCTTGGGAATGATTCTAGGGTTGGGGGGGGGGTCAAAAAATTAATTATAATAACCCAGAAAAATGGACTTTCATAACCCAATTTTCCCAAAATAAAATTTCAACCTTGATTTAATTTTTTATTGGAGTGCATTTTTACCAATTTTGACTTCAGTAAAAAAGTTTTTTTGACTAAATTTACTAAAATAAAGTATAATTATCTTAAAATATAACCTAAAATATTAGGAGATATTTCAAACTAATAACTATTGTATTTTGGGGTATGAATATTTGATTATTTGAATAATAATTCACATTTTACATTAACTTATATCCATATATTTCGTAAAGAATTACTTAACAGCAAATTACAAAACAATATTCAAATTCAAAACTATTTACTTGAGTGCTAAACGTCGACCCTTTATTGAAGCTTCTACATCAAACCTATCAATAATTTTTTCAAAATCAATTTTATATTCGTTATGTATGTATAACACTGCCAAATTATACGTTCTTGAGTCATAGTGACTCTTAAATATGTTTTCAGTCGACGTAGAGCAGAGAAACTACGCTCACAAGAAGCAGTATTGGTTGGTATAGTTAAAAAATTTTTCAAAATTTCTGTGTAAATTGGGACAAAAACTCTGTTATATTTATATACGAAGTACTTTTTCTTTTTTCAGACATTTTAGAAATCAATAAAATGTGAAATAAATTAATAGCTTTGGTTTCATCAAATTGTTAAAAAAAAACAAGTGCCATTTATTTAATATTTACACACGTTTGCAACACATATTGAATCATCGAACGCTTGAGAAATGACAGTTCAATATTCAAAAATTAAATGATTGATAAGTTGATAACGCCATAACAGCAAAACATATGTTTTCTAGGTGAATTAATTTTGATAACAATTATTATCATTTTATTAATATTCGATTATTCAATTAACATGAGTATAATAAATTCTAATATTCTTCTTAATCAGCTTCAAATTTGGAATTCCAAAAACTATTTTCTTGTTTTACATTAGAAATTAAAATTACAGAGGGAATATCATTAAGTATTTTAAATTAAATTCAACTTTTCGGCATTCATCAATAAAAGATTGAAATAACATGTTTTTTCGTTAATTTTTTTTTTTTGGGGGGGGGGGGGTGCAAAAGTATACATTTGAAAACTACCCTTATGACCCCCCCCCAAGTGCCGCCTATGATTGACTTTATAACTCAAAAACTACCTGACTGATTTTGATGATTATTTCATAGATTTTTATTGGAGATACCTATCAGGAAAGTTTATAGAGTTGTTTTAACGACGTTCTAAAATATACCAAAAGCTTT